TTAGAGATCCCATTTGACCCAGCTATCCCTCTGCTGGGCATCTTCCCAAAAGAATTAAAAGAATCATACCACAGTGATATATGCACCCATATTTATAGAGGTGCAGTTTGTAGTAGCTAAAGCTTAGAAACAGCCTAAGTGCCCATCAGAATGATAAATGATAAATGATAAATGAGCCATGTAATAAATTAGAGACATTTATAGCTAAATAGATGCACATTGAGGCTATACTTTTAAGTGAAATAAATAGGACACACAGTTTAAATACTGGGAAGAAAAGGTCCAAAGGAGAAGGGGAAGTGGGAGGGGTAAGGGGAAGGAAAGAGAGAAAGGGAAAAATATGAGAAAAGGAAAAAATGGAAACAAAGTCTTTGTAAATAGAAAGGGGTGGAGGGGTGAAGGAAGGGCAGGGGAATGAGGGAAAATAATAACCAAGGTACATCATGAAAAGGTACAAGTTCCCAATGATAAATGAAATGTATTGTATACCTAAAATGTACCAATAAAGGAATTTAAGGGAAAAAGGAGTTGGTTTTTTGAAAGAATAAACAAAATTGACAAACCCTTAATTAATCTTATAAAAAAGGCCCAAATCTATGCAATTAGGAATGAAAAAGGTGAAATTACAACAGACCCAGCAGAAATCCAGAGAATCAACAATACCTATTTTGAGAACCTATATGCCAATAAGATGGAAAACACAGAAGAAATGGACAGATACATGTGAATTACCAAAGTTGAATGAAGAAGACCTAAAAATTCTAAGCAACCCAATATCAGTAAAAGAAATTAAAAACTTACCAACAAAGAAAAGTGCAGGTCCTGATGGCTTCACTGCTGAATTCTACAAAGCATTTATAGAACTATTGTCACTACTTTCTAAACTCTTCAATGAAATTGAAAAGGAAGCAAAACTCCCAAATTCTATCCTGGAAACAAGCATCACCTTGATCCTCAAAGCAGAGAAAAACCCAACTGAAAAAAAGAACTACAGGCCAATCTCCACAATGAACATAGATGCAGAAATCCTCAATACTGTATACTACACACTGGCAAACAGAATGCAGAAGATCATCACGAAGATCATTGGGTGGGGATTTGTCTTAGTGGTTCTACCACCTGCCTCAAAAGCTCAAGGGCCAAGCCTGATCCCTGGTACAAAAAAAAAAAAAAAAATCATACATTCTGACCAAGTGGGATTCATCTCATGGATACAGGATGGTTCAATATATGCAAATCAATAAATGTAATACACTATATTAACAGAGCCAAGGACAAAAACCATATGATGACCTCAATAGATGCAAAAAAAGTGTTTGACAAAGCCCAACACTTATTCATGATAAAAACCCTCCAGAAAATTGGAATAGATGGTCTTTATCTCAACTTGATAAAAGCCGTCTATGACAAACCAATAGCCAATATCATACTAAATTGTCAAATATTGAAATCCTTCATGCTAAAATCAGGAACAAGACAAGGATTCCATGAGTACCACTCCTGTTCAATATAGTTTTGGAAACATTAGCCACAGAAATTAGACAAGAGAAAGAAATAAAAGGAAAGATAGGAAACAAAGAAGCTAAATTGTCATTATTTGCAGATGACATGATATGGAAGACCCCAAGAATTCCACCAAAAATCTTCTAGATTTAATAACTCAATTCAGTAGAGTAGCTGGATACAAGGCAACACTTAAAAATCAATAGCCTTCCTTTATATAAACTACAGACTCACTGGTAGAGGACCTGGAGAAACAACTCTTTCCACAAGAAAGAAAGAAAGAAATACCTAAGAATCAACCTAGTGAAAGAAATCAAAGACCTCTACTCTGAAAACCATAGCACTCTGAAAAAAAGATATTAAAGAGGATATCAGAAAATGGAAAGATATCCCTTGCTCCTGGGTAGGAAAAATGAACATAGTGAAAATGGCCATACTTCCAAAACTGCTATATAGATTTAATGCCATCCCAATTGAAATTCCAGCAGCATACTTCATGGACCTTGAGAAAACAATCCAAAAATTAATTTGGAACCAGAAGAGATCTAGAATGGCAGAAGCAATTTTAGGCAACAAAAACATGACAGGGGGTATCACAATCCCCACCTTGAAACTATACTATAAAGTGATGTGATTAAAAATAGGACAGTACTTGCAAAGAAACAGACCTGAGGACCAGTGGAATAGGTTAGAAGATGCAGAAATAACTCCAGATATACTCAGCGACCTCATCTTTGACAAAGGAGCCAACCATCCTCACTGGAGGAAAGATAGCCTTTTTAAGAAATGGTGCTGGAAAAACTGTCTTTCAACTTGGTAAATATTAAAACTAGGCCTATATCTATCTCTCTCTATGCACTAAAATAAAATGGAAATGGATCAAAGATCTAATTTTTTAAAAATAGAAACACTAAACCGGGTAGAAGAGAGGTTAGGGTGGAATTCTTGAAGACATTGGTGTAGGAAGTTTCATGAACAAAATATCAGTCACATGTGAACTAGCACAGAGAATCAACAAGTGGGATCTCTTCTTATTAAGTTTCTGCACTACAAGAGAAACAAGCAACAGTGTGAAGAGGCAACCCACAATGTGAAAACTTTCCACCAGCTGTTCCTCACACAAAGGTCTATTATCTAGAAAATATAAAGAATTTTAAAAAATCAGACCTCCCAAATTTAAAGACCCAATCCAAAATAGGGCATCTGAAATGAACAGACATTTCTCAGACAAAGAAGTAGAAATAGCAAATAAATATACGAAAAAATGTTCAAAATCACTGGTCATTCAAGATATGCAAAGGGGTGGAGGGGTTGAAGGGAGGGCAGGGGAATGGGGAAAAATAAAATACATAATGTAAAGGTACAAATTCTCAATGATGAATGTCATCATATTGTATACCTAATATGTACAAATAAATTTACAAACAATAATAAACAAACTCAATAGTAATAGCAAATCACTGGTCATTCACACTGAGAGTCTACCTCACCCCAGAAAGATTATCTAATATCATGAAATCAACCAATAACAAATGCTGGCAGGTTGTGAGGAAAAAGGAACCCTTCTCCACTGCTGGTGGGAGTGCAGACTGGTGCAACCACTGCGGAAATCAGTATGGAGAAACCTCAAAGAACTAGGATTGGAGTCCCCTTTGACCCAGCTATTCCCCTGCTGGCTATCCAAAAGAATGAAAAAGAAATCACATCACAGCAATATATGCACACCCATGTTCATAGCAGCACAGTTTGTAATAGCTAAAACTTGGAAAGAGCCCAATTGCCCATCAACTGGAAGCTGGAGAAAGAAAATATGTGTGATTTTTTAATAAAATGGAGTATTACTCAGCCATAATGAATGAGAAAATAGAGACATTTATAGCTAAATGGATGCATATTGAGGCCAGACTATTAAATGAAATAAATAGGACACATATGTGTAAATACCAAATAGTTTCTCTGGTGCAAGAAACTGAAAATGTAAATAAGGATTAAAATGTATAATAGATAATGTGAAATAGGAAGAAAAGACCCAAAGAGGAAGGGGAAGTGGGAGGGGGAGGGGAAAGGAAAGAAGGCAATGGAATTAATAGGAGAAAAGGAAAAAAATGGAAACCAAGTCTTTGTAAAAAGAGAGGGGTGGAGGGGTTGAAGGGAGGGCAGGGGAATGGGGAAAAATAAAATACATAATGTAAAGGTACAAATTCTCAATGATGAATGTCATCATATTGTATACCTAATATGTACAAATAAATTTACAAAGAATAATAAACAAACTCAATAGTAATAGCAAAACAAACCTAAAACAAAACTCAAAACTAAACCCCTCAAACAAATAAACATAACCCAAGGTTATGTTTCCCCACTAGGGTGGGAAGATTGATTAAATGTTGCCAAGTAGCATTCAGATGCTATGAGCTCTTGATAGTAAATCAATGGGAAATTAAATATCCAGCTACCCCCTGGCACGAGAAAGGAAACAGGTCAGGATATAACGGATCAGGATATATTTATAACGTGAAATGAAGCTGGTGATTTGGAATTTGGTTTCTATAGGGCCAAACTAGGGCCAAACTTCTGCTAAACCACAGGAACCAGGGAGGGCATTGTGGTCGCTGGAAAGGTAACTAGCTCCACAGAAGAACTTAGCCTAGTCTAAAATCAGCCCTACCCCCGAGAAACTGTGTGACTTTGCATAATCTTAACCTGTGAGATTTAACAACTATGAATGTTTAAGATTGGGGACCATGCCTCTCTTTGACAGGGCTGCTGTGAAGATTCATGGATCCTAGCCCAGTGCTTGGGACTCAGACAGTACTCAATTATGATGGTTCCATTCACCACCTTAGTCTCTGACTCTTCGTTTTCTCTGAATATCATTTCACCCCAAATACTGGATCTTCCATTCAACAACAACCTGGATGGGACTTTACAGCATTACTCTCTTAGCATCAATCCCTCGACTTTTTAAAAAAATCACTCATTCATGTTCCTGAAGAGGACAGTTACATCGAGATTTAATGCCAGATCCTACATTAAAGAATCTCCTTCGAAGGATCTACTCCTAGACTTTCCTCACCCTGCTGACAACTCATTTTCTATCCTAGAAAGTATTTTGAGAGTCTCTCCACATAACACGACCCACTCCCTCCTCCAAAGCCATAGTGGTAACAGCCACTGGAAATGCTATAGGGTCTGCAGTTGCAGGTTCTCAGGAGGAGCAACTGCTGCTCATCAGCTGACAAGTTTCTAGTAATGGGCTGTCATTTAGCAGGTCACTGAAAACTTCTCAGCAGCATGGAGAGGACCAATGGGACCCCTTCACTTTATCAGGACAACATCTCAGGGCCATGTGAAACCTGCTGGTCTTGGAAGGCTGCACACCGAGCTTTTCTAACATACATGATTCTACGAAGTTTGTTGTTTGTCCCTTGGTTAAAACAAATAAAAGCAGCCCAAACAACCCCAGGCCGAGGCTGGGCTTCCCACCGCACACTTACTCCCAATGGAGAGAAGCACCACAATGAAGTCGAACACATTCCAGCCGTTGGTGAAGTAGTAATGCCTCAGGGCGAACATCTTCAGGACACATTCGCCAGTGAAGATGGCCACAAAGAACTGGTTGATTTTGCCCAGCACTCTTGTCTTTTCTTCACTCTGCTCATCCGTCTCCACCATCATGGTGACCATGTTGAGGCAAATGAGGACCATAATGCTGATGTCAAACGCTTGTCTAGTCACGATGTCAAAGATAAAGCCCTGGTACTTGTTCTGAGAAAACAAGAAGTGGTAGCGTCAGGGCCTCTGTGGCAACATAAAAAAAGAGGAAGAAACGTCTGGAAGGCTGAGTTCTCTATACACGCGTTTGAAAAGTCTGTTTCTACATCCTCTTCTTAGCCCTCCTCACATTTCACTTTGACTTGATTACCTCATTGTCCTAGTTCTAGTCTTTACTACTTCTCTCAGCCTCTTGAAGTCATCAAGCATGTCCTTTTTCTTGGCTCAGGCTCTTTTTCCACTTACAACGCTCCATTTGTAACCTTTCCAGGCTATCTAAATTCTGACCTTCCGGAGAGAGCCACCTCTCTTAGGCCTTACCCCACCCGGGAGTTTCCCCCAACTGTGTCACTCCATGCTGCTCTGGCCTTCTGGCTCCCTCAGCCTTCACTGACCATCCTGAGTTCTAGCATTTCATGTACTCCTCTTCTTTATTGGTCAATGAATGCTTTGAGGGTGAGGGCATGTATACTTACCTTTGTGTTCCTGAAATATTTTTCACCTAGCAAGAGTTCAAGAGCTGCTTATAAAATTATTGATTTCAGTTACTTTGCTGAGTTTAAAATTAAGTGCAATGCTATGACTGTGCCCCTCTGTGTCTGGCAAAGTCCCTCCACTCCTGAAGCTGCATCCTTCCACTGGCACACTATCACCTCCTCACTACCGCCACTTCTGTTTCGTTCCCGATGTGTCAGGCTCGTGGCCGCGCTTGCCCACTTCGGGCTATTATCCTGAGTGTCTTCAGTGTCCACATGAGTGACTCATTTCTAACTTTTCAGGTCAATCTCTAGTGACACGGCTGTTCCTGACCTGAACCTTGCATCTCCTTCCAGCTACCACTCTAGGTCGTTTCTCACTTTCATAGCTAAATTTTTGGAAAGAGTTATGTGCAGTCACCGTCTCCCATTCACTCCTCAAATCACTTCAACAGAGCTTTTTATCCTGCCATGGGAATGGTTCTCACATGATCACTAATGACCTCCATAATGTTAAATTCAAGGACACTTAATGTGGAATGATCCTCTCTTGGTTTCTATCGTGCCATACTTTCTGGTTTCTTCTCTTGCCTTTTAGGTTGCTCTGTTCTAATCTCCTTCTTTCAACTTTCAGATAGTAAAACTCTTCAGGACTCCATCCTAGGCACCCTTTCCTTTTCACCTCGGTCTTTCTCCCTTGGCAATCTCTCCAGTCTGTGAATTAATGCACATGTGTGTTTTGCAATTATTTGCCTGGGCCATGGGCTTGTGATCTCTATGAGGGAGGAGCTTTGTTTATTTGGCTCACTGTTCTATCCTTAATGTCTGTTATAAAAATAGGTGCTCAATAAATTGGTGAATAAAAGGAAGACAAAATGGGCAGCTCTGAATTAACCACAGCTCAAAATTCCAAAGCAACCCTACTAGGTTTGATTATCTAATAGGCATGTACTGAATATATACTATGTGGAGGGTTCTGTATAAGTGGCCATGAGGAGAAAACCCTGCTGTAGTTACACCAGGGAGCTTCCAGGAGCTGCTAAGCAGGAGGAGGAGAAGTGCTCTGAGGAAGCCGACTTCTAATTAAATAGAGGACTTCTAATTAAATAGAGTGGGCAACAGCATCAGTAAGCATGTGAGCATCAGGCTTGCCCTGGATGCTCTGACTGGAGGGAGTGCAGCAGCTTTTCAGGCAGGAATCACATCTTTGAAACCCTTGCTGCTCTCAGAGATGATGAAGTGGGTGATAGATGCAGTGATGATATTCTAGAGCCCCTTATTTTCCTATAAAGTGGAATACGTGAAGCCTGCTTTTAGTGATTTTGAAAGCAGGGAATGTTACAGGAAATAAATCTCCCAGTTTGGTAGCACCCTTGCCCTTGGCTATGGATGAACATTTAGAATCCAGCTTCACCAAGGGTAAGGAGTGGTGTGTGTGCATGTGTTAGGGTCCCAATGTGCTGCTGCCTGGAGATTTGATGTTTTCGTCTTTGGGCAGAGGGCTGAGCGGAACTGAGATGTCATGTATAATCTGGGAGCTGCACTTACTAGTGGAATAAAGGGGCATGTCTCTTGAAGTCTTTATTTAAAAAAAGGGATCAAAATGGAGTCTGACTCTAACTTTGGCCAATCTCTAAACTTCAGCAGAGTTCCTGTTGGGCCACTGGATAGTGACCATGACTGCGTCTTGGATCTCAGGGGAGTGGGCATTGGTCTTTCCCTCTCTAGTCTACTTATAGGCATGAGGTAGAAAGTAGGGCTGGTCTAGAGGTCATGGCCTCCTGAATCGTAATGCATAACCACACAAACATCCCATCACTGTCTACTTTCGATATGATTTAATGTGATCTGCTCCCAAACCTGTGTTGGAACCTAACATTTTGGGAGGAGGTCAGTATTTTCTTACACAGGCTCGTTGGAAGCATCTTTGGAGTTATTTTCACTCCAGAAGATGAGAGTTGCTTCACTTATATTTCTCATTGCTTGGCCTGGGAACCCTCATCACACTCATCCCAAACTCAACCCTGACCCCTCCTCCACAGTCAGCCCTGGCTTGGCTGCCATCCAGCACAGGTACAGACTGTCCACACATACATGCTCTGCTAGAGGGGAGTTTACCAGAGGCCGAGGGATGGGCTTCTGGGGCTTCTTGGAGCCCAGCTTCTTCATGGCATTGTAGTACTTCTTCTGCTCCTCTGTCATGAAGATGTCCTGGCCCCCTAAGTGCAGAAGAAAGTCACACTGTTATTAAAATAATAGGATCCCCCTAGGGATGCTCAAATCAAAGCATCCCATATGGGAAGGACCATCTCAACCTCCTCTGCTCTGCAGAAAGCTGAAGTTCAAGGAGTGCCTTTCCCAGGTGTCACAATCCATGACACAGCAGCGGAAAAGAGCCCGTGTTATATTCTCTACTTGAGTCTCTGAGAGAAAAGCTGGTCTCTGCTCTCCAGGGACTTGGAGACACTGCCTGAAACAAGTGTGAGGAAGATGTGGGGCCAGGACTCAGGGAGAAGATCTGTGCTTGTTTAGAGCCTTGCATGCAGCCTGTTCATCCCAATTAAAGTCAGCGGACTTCTAGAGTCACAGGCCCTGCCAAGGTGCAAGGGCTTTCCTCAAGGTCTCCAGGGCAAAGACACAGGGTCTCAGATCTTTCTGGAGAGGAGCAGCTGAGGACAGTTAGTACCTTGTCCTTGGGTCCCTGGCCTTTCAGGACCTTTGGTTGGTTGGCTTGAGGCCTGCCAGTTGCACTGCCTCTGCTGTGTTGCTGTGCCATAAGTACACCATTAAAGATGTCTTCATCCTTTGAGATGGAGCATGTTAGTGTGCTGAAGGACCCTTTGGACTTCCTTCATTCAAACCCTTATCTTTTACTTTCTGATATAATTTGAAGGCCCATTTCAGTAGCATGCTTGTCCAAATTATTTACTGTAAATGCTGCCAGGTGGTGAGATTTCGGAAAATCTGTACATACACAGGGCCTTTCTGGGGGACATCTTGGTGGGGCCTGGCAGGGACAGGGCAGTGAGTAGGCGAGCTCTAGCTAGAGCCATACTAAGAATTCTGGGCAAGGAATCCACAGATGCAGTTTCTCAGCCCAGTGTGATTACTGGTTCATGTCACTCTATCACTGAGGTAGCCAACTCTGTCTCTAGGCCTCAGTTTCCTTATCTGTAAACTAAAGAAAGGATTGCTTGAGTGATCTCAAAGCCCCAGGCAGTGGTAGCAGTGGTTTGTATTGTCTTGATGAGCCTCTTTGGGGCTCTCATAGACTTCTCCTGCCTTCTTGCAAGGCCCAAGACCCTGTCAAAGGATTTACTATAAGTAGGATGCCTGCTCCATTGAATATGTATAGTAAATTATAACAGTAACACTTAGACCCTGCTTCCCACTGTGTGTTCAGCCTCAAGCAAGGTGCTCTTTGTGTGTACAGGGGCTTACTTACCTCACACTCTGCTCCTGAGATTAGGAACTCTTAACCCCACTGAACAAATAAGAAAACAGACCTAGGGAAGTCTGAAACATTGTCAATATCATCTGTCCAGCTGGTGATTGAGTCAGGAAGGCAAACCCAGGTTTGTGTGATGTTGAAGGCGATACCAGGCAATGCGACTCAGACATAGCCCCCTATTCTCTCAGGGTCCAAGCTTACAGGAATCTAAAATAGTGCCCTGTTTACCTTGGAGGCTGGAAGGGTTCTAAATAGAAGGGCAACACGAACATGTTTTATGTCTTTAATGTCCTCCTGATGATTATATCATGTGATAAATATGAATGGCTATCTGGGTCTCCTGTTAACTGAGCCATCATCCAAGGAGTCAAGAATCTTCCCCCATCCCAAACAAGGTTGGGATTTTGCCAGCATTGGCAAAATCTTTCCTTCCCGCGGTGTCCTGATTCAGTCCTTTGGGGCTCAGGGCTCCAAATACAACCACAAGTGCTAGAGCCCTTTCATTCCCTGTGGTTATCTCTCACGTGGTTATCTGCAGCACATGTGGGTCAGCTGGGGAGGCCGAGGTCATGTTGGGAAGGAAGATGGGAATCAGGGTGGGGACATAGGGAAGAGGCAACTTGCTGTTGTGTGGCTCTTCAAGCAGCAGCTGCTACCGCTTCCGAGACCAGATGTGGGTGAGGGTTACAACAACCAGGGGCAAAAGTCAGGTTGGGGTTCAAGGCCCAAATTCAGGTCTGCTCAGACATTCAGGGCTGCGGTAGTGTTGGCTTTAGCCGTGAGGCCAGGGGTGGCTAGGAAACAGGAAGGCTAAGGTTCACTGATGGAGCAGAAACATTGAGTCCCACTTATCTTTTTTTTCTGTTGATTGAAGTTGTCAATTATGACCCCAACAAAGAGGTTCAGTGTGAAGAAGCCACCAAAGATGATGAAGATGACAAAGTACAAGTACATGTACACGTTGTCTTCCCACTTCGGCTGACTGTTGACCTGTGACAGACAAGGTGGGATTTGGGGGAGAGGGAGAGAGAGCATCTGCATTCAGTTTTACCCTTAAGCCAACTCTGAGGGCAGGATATTTATTCCAGGAAGTAGGAATGAGGGAGTGAGAGAATAAGCAGGAAGAAGAGCAAAGCAAAGGCAGGGATCATGGTTAAGCAGCCCATTGCTGTGGACAGCTGGGGCCATCCCATTCCAGTCCTCTGAGGGCCATGTAGGCCGCACCTCAGCAAACCCTAGGGACAGGGAGGCTGGAATAGTCATATACAAACCTCCAAAACTTATCAGAGAGGGTGGCCCTGGGGACATCACTTTCCCTGACCGTGGGGGATACTCCTAAGTGAGCTCCAAAGGACTAACAAGTCTTCAGAGACTCAGATATGCAAGTTGGGAGTGAAGTCAGAGGTGAGCTGAGGGGACACAGGGCAGGGCCTCAGCAGAGTCTGCAGTGGCAGGAGAGGGTCCTTCCCCACCAGTACCTCCCCAACCTGGAGTTTATTATACAGTTCCTGCTAGTTCAGGAAGTGGCCTCCCAGGTGCTGGCCTTTGAAGGTCATCTGCTGCTCTCCTTTGTGGTGAGCAGCGGAAGGGCTGGAGAAGCCTGAGGAGCATGCACAGCAGTGGAATGGGCTGGGTGGGCTTAAACATCCAACAGAGGCCAGCTGGGCACTGCTGCAGGGATGGAGGGTGTGAGGCTCTGGATGGATGCCTCTTCTGGCACCAAAGCCAGCTCTACTTCATTACAAATACAGATTGGGATGGGCAGGGCACATGGAGGGGAAAGTTATAGGCTCAGTGGGCCAAGACTCACATCTCGGGAATCGACAGCCGCATACATAATGTCCATCCAGCCTTTAAAAGTTGCCTGGAAACAAGGAGCAGAGTCCACTCAGTGTCTGCCCATCCATTGATCCTGGACCCTTCTCAGGCCATGGTGGCCTGGTGAGAGAGCAGGGCATTCAGCTAAGGGGGCTTGAGGAGAAAAGGGCTTGGGAAGAAAGGAGAAAGAGTCCTGACTAATCTCACATGGTGATTTAAAGTAATCTACATGTGGCTATTCCAGAATAGAGTTGCACTAAAGACATGGACATTTCCAGAATATGGCACGGAGTGGCTGCTTACATGCCTGAATATAGTGTAAACAGCTTCAAGGCAGCTCTGTACCTTGGATTAAGGCTTCATCTTAGGGACACCATCTTCTCAACCACTCTCTCACCTCATGCATATGATTTAAGAATGGTATAAGTATACTTGGAAGATGGGCCAGTTGGGAGTAGAAAACCACCACATTCCTGTCTATAGTCTCAGCATTCTCTAGGTCTTGCAACTGAATGTGCCCTTTAGCATAATGCAAGGTACAACAGAAGTCTCAGGTCTTGTGCCCCTAAGCCTGTTACAGCACTTGATAGGCTGTTTTGATTCATGTGTTTGTCTGTTTTCCTCACAGAGCCTCAGTGCCTGCAGCCAGTTCCAACTGTATCTCCCAGGACTAAGCATGTGCCTAGCATCACAGAGCCACTCAAGGATTATTTGTTGATTGAATGTGTTAAGAAAGGGTGGAATGCAGGAACTCATGGGTCACTACATCACAGATGTGTAAGTAATTGTGTCAATTCTTACACGAATGGAGAACTGAATGGGTGGGATGAAGGCAAGAGATGGATTAATGCATAGAAAGTGTGAATGAGTCTGTTTGTCACTATCACAAACATGCTCTGTCATTGCCATCAACTTAATTAGATATAACCCATTGCCACCTAGGGGATGATGTGAAGGAGAACACAGCGCACGGGGCTCTGCCGTGTCGATTTTGTACAGGTGGTGTGTTCTAAGTCATGACTTGATACAGTCCCACGGAGGCCCAGCCTTTAACCCAGGCTTGTCACGTTCATTAGTAAGGTCATCTAGCCTAGTGGTGTCGTCTGTAGGAACAGAGAATGACTTCAGATCACACTTAGTGCTACCCCTTGCAACATCTCCATACAACACCTCTTAGAAGACCCTAAACTATCCTCTTACTGACCAGAGGAGGGGAAATGGCTGATCTCGTGGTTGACTCACCACCTGAAGAAGTGCGAGGTAACCCATCATAACATTATCGAAGTTGACTTTCACATTGACCCAGAAGAAGCTGCCAGTATGGTTTTGATGCGTGCATTCAGTCAAGTTATTCACAACTGTCCAATTCACAAGATCAAATTCTTCATCGGTGCGGTTGATGCACCTCCCAAACTTGCCCGCGAAGAGGTTCACGCCCATGATGCTGAAGATGAGCCAGAAGATGACGCAGACGAGGAGGACGTTCACGATGGATGGGATGGCACCCACCAGGGCATCCACCACCACCTGGTGGGAAATAAAAAAGGACTGGAAACCCCAGGGTGCTGGATCTCGATTCTTTTTGTACTCAGGCTGCTTCAGGAGACAGTGGCTTTTGAAGCAGCGAGGTAAGGAAGTTGGTGCAATCATTCAGACCCAGAAGACTCAGAGACCGTGGGCACCTGAATATGGGCTTCGACTTTCTTCCTTAAACCTCACCGAGGGCAGGCATTAGTGTCTTTCCTCAGAAGGGAGGAGATGGGTGAGTGCACAAGCACACATATTTACTTAGGGGTGTGAGTGTGTGTATTGCACTGGCAAATACAGGCTTTTAGAGCCTCACTTTATTCCCTCTAATTTTATATTTTACAAAATACAGTGTAAATAAAGTATGCTCTGGTCAAGAATCAGTGAAACCTAAATCCATACTCATTAAATGTACTCACTTGTAAATCAGCAAGCAAGAACTTGAATACAAAATAAAATAAATTTCAAGCTGTTTCAATCTTTAGCTTCTCGTGTTTCTAAAGGTGCAAGTTAACTGTAAAACTCCACTTTCGTTTTCAAAGCTATGGTGACTGTTTTGAGCCAACAGCAGAGGAAGGGCAAGGTGGAGGCTAATAATGGATAAGAAAAGAGGTGGGTAGAAGGAGAAATTCCACAGGGCCACAAGTTGGAGAGAAGAGGCATCTCAGTCAGCGGTGGCTGAGGTGTTGATATGAAGATGTCACTGCATTTGAATGTGGCATTGGAGAAAAGACTCATTTGCCAGGGAAAGACACAGAACTTGGGATATTTTGGTCTTTTTTTTTTTCCTTTTCTTTTTTGATACCAGGAACTGAACTCAGGGCCCTGTTACTTGGCAGGCAAGCGCCATACTGCTGAGGTATATCCCAGGCCCGAACTTGAGGTGTTTTGGTGATCTTGGCAACAAGATTAAAAGGTAGAGTTTGGAGACAGATAACAGGTGTTGTGGGTCTTGCATCAGAGTCATCTCTTGAAGAGAGAGTGGTCTGAGTCCCGATGGGTGTGCTATTTATGGGAAACTTGAAAGGAAGGTTCTCAAAAGAGATGGGTAGGGGAACCAGGAGAGCCAGGATGTTCAGTACCATCAAAATCAGAGCAGACAGGAAGACACAGAGCTGACTTTTGGAAAGTAGGGCCTGGACCTTGGGTTCAGTGGTAAAAAGGACATAAAGGGGTAAGAGTTACCAAATGTTGCAGATCAGGTATTTTTGAAATAGGACTTACTCGCATGCCTTCGAATCGAGACAGAGCCCTCAGAGGCCGCAGGGCGCGGAGGGTCCGAAGGGCTTTGATGGATGCCATATCAGAATATTTCAGGATCTTCGCTATGAGGCTTATCAGTGAGATCTGAGTGCAGGCAGAGAACAAAAGTATCACATCAGGGTCCAGAAAGGCATCTTGTCCAAAGAAGACAGGAAATCTCTTCCCTGCCTCCCATTCTCTCCTCTGAGCCATTGTCCTGGCTCCTACCTTATTCTGAACTTCAGCAGAGGTCAGAAAGAGCTTAGCCCCTCCAAAAATTTTATTAATCACTTACTTAAGTCTCTGAGAAAGAAAAACTCATTTTCCTACATTGCCACCCTTGTCAATGTAGGTGGCCAAGTTTCCTTCCTCTCTAGCGGCACTGGCTGGTCCCAACAACCTTGAAATTTGATGGACTTTCAGAGACTTAGAGAGACAATGTCTTCATATATGGCCTCTGCTGAAAATCTATTTTGAGAAATATAAAGTTAGCCTTGTCTTTGCTCAGAAAAGCAGGCTGGGAAGAATGCTGTTTAGGGTGGTGCTGAAGATCTCTCCTGATCCTTATTTTGTGACCTGCTCATCTAGGATGCTTTCACCCTTTGTAAAAGGAGGGGGTCAGACAAAGAAAAAGTGAGCCCACAATTCTTGCAGCTCTGTTGCTCAAGAGTGAGTGGTAGTGGCCACTGGGATCCAGCTTCCGTAGCTCTCTGGGAGGGGATGACTGAGTTACCAGCCTCTGCTGGTCTGCTAGTTTTTATTTAAGTGATGGCCCAAGGACTGCAGAGGATACAAATGGACATGGAAAAAAGGTCACCTCTTTTAGGAACACCAAGGTGCTGGGGAGATGCTTCACATAGGCTTGAGCCTGATAGGGGCAGTGGCCGAATCCTGTGACTCCAGCTGCACCGTGCATGGTGGGCTGAATTCAGGCTTAGCTTATTCTGGCAGCTATGTGGGAAATGGTATGCCAGAACTTTGGGAAGCAAGGGGTTTGCGCTTGGGGGCTTCAGCTTCACACGACAACCGTTCTCTGAATGGGTGGTTAATTCTACCAGGTCCAAGAGCTGGAATGGAAAAGATGCCTTCATTCACCCAAGGCTCTAGACACCAGCAAGTGTCGCCTGGTTGACTGAGGGCCAGGATCTTTGGGGCCAGTTCCAGGCCTATTCCAGGCTGCTCATCCTCCTGGGAAGCCTGCTTATGTGCCAAATTTGCAGCTTAGGAAGACAGGGCATGGGGCTTCTCTAGAAAAGCCATGTGAAAAACCCATGTGCAGCTCTACTCAGGCTACTTGGGCCACGAGCCTCCAGACAGGTCTCCAGGCCCCAGGACTGCATCCTTCTCTCACGTGCCTTACCATAAAACAGACTATGATGATGGCTCTCTCATACTTCCAACCTTCACTGGTTCTCTATCAATCTCAGAATGAGCTCTGGACTGTTTAGCCTATACTGTATAGCTACAATGTTCATGTCTATAAATATTTCAACTCTGTTTTCCACCCAAACCAAATTGTTCCCTGAATACCCTGGTGTCCATGCCTTTGCTCAAGGTTTTGTTTTGTTTTTTTCTTTTGGTATGGGGATGGCACTCAGGACCTTGCACTTTCGAGGCAGGAGACAGCATCAAGGTCTTTGTCTTACTAGGATTGGTTTCCCCAGTTTTCTGGTACCTCTCTGCTCCTGCTCATTTCTGTGTCCTATATCTAATATCTGCTATGTGAAGCTTTTCCAGCCACCCCATCCCCTGAATGAATGAAGGCTTAAGTCTCTGTGGCTCCAAGATACTGTTCCCAGCAGAACCCAACGCAGCCTCCCTTTATATATTTATTTCCCTTGTGTGTGTCTACTGGAAGACTAAAGTATAAACTGGAAACAGGGAGCATTGATTACTTTCTCTGTCTCTCCTACAGTGCCTTATTAGACAGTATTGTATTTAGTTTTAAGCAAATATTTGATAAGTAGCAGAAAAGTTGCAAGCATGTTGGGATGGATGAAAAAAAGGAAAGAAGAAAGGAAGAAGCTGGAGAATGATAGGATAGATGAACTAGTTTACAAAGATGATGGGTTAGATAGATCAAGGATGGAAGAAAAATAAAAGAAGGGAAAAAGTACGGAAGCAGGGAATAGTAGATGGATGGATAAATAGATGGACAGGAGAAGAACGGATGACTGAGCAAAGTGACTGAAGAATGAATGGAAAAATGGAAGTTGGATGAAACAGATGAATGAAAGAATTTAGTGAATTATTAGAAGGTTGAATGGATGGATGGAAGCAAAGAAGATAAAAGGACAGGGGAATGGAATAAAGGAAGGACAGATGTATGGATTAAGGAAGAATGGAAAGATAGAAATAAATGGATAGAAGGATGAATGAGAGAAGGATGCTTGGATGAAAGACAGATGAATGGGTGAATAGATTAGAAGCCTGCATAAGGACCACCCCTTCATTCCATCCATCCTCCTCCCTTTGAGCCTTCCAACCACCTGTTCTCCCTTCCACATGGCTCCTTCATCTATCCAACTGTTCACTCTTCCCTCTTCCCAAATATCTACCTATCTTTACCTCTTCTACCTGCCCTTCTCTATCAGCCCTTTGCTTTCAGCCATCCATTCCTATTCCTCTTTTCCTCTTCCCCAATGTCTATCCATACATCCTAACACCACACACACACACACACGCACACACAAACACACACACCTTGGATTGTAATTGTTCTGCAAGATGAACAAACATTTCTAATAAGTTTTAAATTGATAAATTTGTAATACAATTAATATGGATGGCAAATGTCACATGATCATAACTGGGCCAGTGATGCCTCTCGCCCCACTTTCTTGGCAGGACTGTGGGTGATTGTTTCCTAACAGCAAGAGGTTATGGAGGAGATCTTGTCTGGAGAGAAGGAAGAGAAAAAGTTGGAGGAATCCCTCCCTTCAAATGAGATTAGGGAGATGCATAAAATGTGGGAAACAGTACAAAATTTTGTGGAAAACACCATCCAAATAAAGCTGTACAGTGAGCAATGAACCTGTTTAATGACACTGCAGTCTCACATTTCTGTGAAATCCTTAAGCTCCTTGTTAAAGTTGCAGGAAACAAAGGACTCCACTGAGCTGAAAGATAGCAGTGATTCCATTAGTGATAGAGAAAAGCGTCCTGGATAGTAACCCTCCTCTCTCATCTCCCTCACACTAGCCAAGAAGGTTTCAAAGATACATGAAGATTAATTTATTTTTATTTATATGTTTTATTTTCTTTATTATTTTGCATATGTACTGTAATTGTGTTAAATGACTATTTTTGGATTGTAGAGCAAATCATCTGAGTCTCCGTTCTTTTTAATGGGTAAATTTTCTTTGATACACAAGTGCTTTGGATTACAAGTATGTTTCCAGAATGAATTATGCTTGCAAATCAAAGTTTTAACCATATATCTGGAGTGGGGAGCCAAAATAAAGCATTTCCCTTTCACTTAAGAATAATTGCTTTAGGGCTGGGGATTTAGCTCAGTGGTGTTGCTGCCTGCCCCACAAGTGCGAGGACCCGAGTTTGATCCCTGATACCAAAAAAAAAGAATAATTGCTTTATATGCATAAAATTGCTATCTGTGGCTCAGATTTCATGCCTCCCAGCTAATTCCTGAGGTACAGTGGCCTGATGCTGCTAGTGAACTGGCTCCAAGAAAGCAGAGAACTGCATGCACAGGCCTGCTGTGGAGGTCTTGCCAGCACAGGAGGCTGGACAGAATGTTCTGTGCTGGACCCCATCCAGCTTCAGCAGTGAGCACCAAGTACAGACACATTTCCCAACACCTCTCATGTGCAGACCTTGGTGCTGGTGGCTGCTGGGAGGCAGAGACACACACACCACAGCCTCGTTCCATAGGAGCCCTCAGCTAAGGAGCAGCCAACAAATAACTCACGTTGCCATGTTGCAAAGCCAGGCCAGCAGTGGCCTGAAGAGAGACAGGGCAGTGTGGCAGTTAGGCTGGGGACTCACAGTCTAATGTGTAGGAGGTGCAGGGTAAATTCCTTAATGTGGGGCTATGGTCACAGGCTACTGTGTGTCAGAACTCTTTAGTTCCCGCTCGTCACCTCTCTAGCAGGACCCTCTGTCCCTTTCTGAGCCACTAGGGAGGAGCCAGGTTTTTCAGCTCAATGCTTATTAACCGTAACAAACCTTTGGAAATGCCTGGTTGCTTTATTCCTGCCTGGATTCCACCTAAGTCTGGGAAGATCAGCATCTCTGGGATAGTGGCATTGACTTAATGTATTTTTAAGAGCTCCCCAGGTGATTCTAAAGTGAAGCCAGAGCTGGAGACACAGAGCCAACAGGTGGGAGGTTCTCTGCTCAAAGGCCACAGCTCCCCAAAGTTCAGAGCCCTAGCAGAAGATGCAAAGTTATAAGACCCCAGACAGCCTCCTTTTCATCTTGCTTTGAAAGTGAAAATGCAGAAGATTCTAGTGGTCCCTTTGGATGGAGGCCCAAGAGGCCACCACTGTGCCAGAACTATGTTCTGCTGCAGCCGACCACTCATCAGTGTGCAGAGTATTCTCCTTACAGGGTGCTCACTGTGAGAGCCACGGCCACAGAGGTGAGGACCCCAGAGCCCCTGTGCCCACGAACCACTCACATTCACAATGAGGAAGTCCAGCCAGCACCAGGCATTGGTGAAGTACTTCTTGAAGCCATAGGCCACCCACTTGAGCAGCATCTCGAACACAAAGATGAAGGTGAACACCCTGTCAGTGTACTCCAGCAGTGCCTGCACCATGGGCTTCTGGTCCAGGTAACAGTCTTCAAAGGCCTGGAGGAAGGGAGCAGAATGCCAGGTTGCTGGACCTATATCACAGAGTCCAGACCAAGAGGGCAAGACCAGCCGACCCATGGCCTGGAGGAGCAGCTCTGGCAGCTGGCTTGCCCAGTCCTTTTCTTTTCTCTACTTCTGGGCTGGTGAGGTGGGTAGAGGAGGAGGCACTGTGAGATACAAACTGAGATTTCCTCGCCCAGTAGGGACACACGGTCCTGCTGATATTTTGCAGGATTGCTGAATGCAAGCGAGAAAGGGAACCTCAAATTGGATTTTGGAAGCGAACCAAAGGGACACTAACAGCAACTTGCTTTAAAAATAAAAGCATCAAAGGATGTTCACAGGCAGTTCACAAAGAAATGAAAGTAAGAATCGCCAACAAATCTCTGAGAAAAGATGTTTCATCTCACTGGTAATCAAGGAAATTCAAATTAGAAGAATGCAGTTTTTTTTTTCTTTACCTGCCTGGTGAAGATGAAAATGAATGGGGAGGCAGTGCTAGGTATGGGGTGCTTCACTCTCATAGGTGACTGATGGGAGTGAGAACTGGGTCAGTCTTTGGGAAAAGAAATGATTCCAAACTTTAGAAAGTCAGTGATTCGCTGGGCATAGTGTCACACGCCTGTAACCCCAGCACTTAGGAGGTTGGGTCAGGAGGGTCACCTCGAGTCTGAGGCCAGCCTGGGCTACATAGTGAGTTCAAAGCTAGCTTGAACTGCATAGCATGAGCCTGTGAAAGGGCTTACCCTGAAGCCACTGGACAATAGCACCCCTATTGTCCTGCTGAGGCCACTGACTGGGATTCTTTGCTGGGCTGAGGGAACCAGGTCCACCTTGGAGCCAATCGCTCTGCAGATTAGATCCCCAACCCCTTGGGGCAGCCCTGACATGTGGCTTTACAAGGCCACCCCCTTTGTCTTCAGGTGCAACAATTCTGTGGTGCCCTTTGTGTTTCAAGGCTCCCCACGGGCCGGCTGAGGCTTCCTTCTCTATCCTACCTGTTCCCTCATGGGCTACACCACAGCCCACCCCAGTAAGTAGCCGCCAGCACAAGAGACCTCACCATGGGACCTGCGTCTTCAGGCCAAGGTGCTCAAGCACTCCTATCTCCACTGCAGCAAGTTCGAGGAGAGCTGCGCATGTTCAGTGTAAACGTGGGGGTTGTTTGAATGAACTGTGGCACGTTCCTAGAATGGGCTATGTTGCAGCCATTAGGTGAGATAGTATGCAAATATTTCCTGGGAAAACTTACCAGAGGGAAATTACAGAATGCATAGAGGTGGTTTTACTTTTTCAATATTTGTATATTCTATGCATAAGAAAGATGGGAAGGAAATAGACCAAAATGTTTTTAAAGTGAGCTTCTCCTTCAGTGATAGAAAAATGGGTGATTTTTTTCCTTTTGCCTTTTTCTATAATTTCCAAGTTGATTTTTTTCATTTTGCATTTACTTTGTCAGATGAGAATTCATGCTATTTTTTAGAAGCACTCAAAGTAAAAGCATAAAGAAGACTAAATTCGGCACAAGCCTGTTTGGTCTCCTGGGGAAGGAGATGGGGAGAGAGAGGAAGCTGTTGGGGTGGGCGGCCAGGGCAGAGCAGCTGTCTCAGGATCTGCGCTCCCTCCAGGGAACAGAGAGCAGGAGCCAGAATGGGAAGGTGGGGCAGGGGGTGTGAAGAGAGATGGGAGGGACTGTGAAGAGGAAAAACTTGGAGAGAGCATCTACAAAGAAGGCGTCTGGTTGACAGCATCTGGGGGTATGTGTTACTGGGCACTGGACCCAGGGCCTTTGCACTGAGCTACATCCTGGCCTTAAAGTTCAGTTTTTATTTTGAGACAGGGTCACCCTAAATTGCTAAGTTACCCAGGCCGGTCTTGTACTTGTAACCCCTCCTGTTTCAGCCTCTCAGAGTACTGGGATTAAGGTATGCAGCACCACATCTGGTTTGGGGTCATCATGTTTATCCAGGAGCATGGGAAAGAGAAAGGAAGGGAAAAGCTCTGCCTACCCCTTCTCCTGCAGTTTGGCCTCTACACTGCTGTGCCCGGGAGGACAGTTGGTGCCTTGTCCCATCATGACGGGCACCTTCCGTGCTGCTCCCCACAGCTGTACCAAATGGCAGGCCAGCCCTGTCCCTGAGACTCTTCTTCCTGGCTTTAGGTCTCACTGCGCTGGTGTTCTTCCCACTCCTTGTCCCTTACCTGTGCCGTCCCCAAGTCAAAAGCCAAATGCTGAACAGTTCTGGCACCTTTCCTGGGAAAACTGACATTTAAGTCCATGTCCAGGTATCCAGTAGGTTTTCTTTTTTGGTACCAGGGATCAAACTCAGGACCTTACGCTTGCCAGGCAGGCCCTGCACCAGTGAACCATATGCCTGGCTAGATCATTTTTATCCAGTAAATGACACAGGAGGAGCAAGACAAGTGAAAATACTTGGAGCTGTGAGCCAGGAAAGTGGGGCTTGAGCTCCACCCCTTGAATGAACTTACTGGGATGCTGGGTGGTTCCTTTTAAGTCTTTGAGCTTTGACTGCCTCACTTGTAAAATAGAAACGTGGGGCTGACCAGTTCCTTCCTGTGTCTATGCCTACCTTGTTCTACTGGGTTGAACACTTGAGTTTATACAGTGAGCCTGAGTCCAAGTTTAGAGCCTTCCTACCTTGTCCTACAGGGACCAGCTTTCAGGCAGGGGATTAGTGAGTATCTTCAAACCCCTCAGTTTCTATTTCCTGAGACCACTCTGAGTGTGGTTCATGGATGCCAGCAGCAGTCTCCACAGTGAGTACGTTGGGAATGCAGGTTCTCAGGCCCCGCCACTAATCTCCCAGATCCAAAGCTTCAGTGTAGCAAGCTCTCCAGGTGATTCCAGTTTGAGAATTGGCTGCTGTAATAGTTCCCCCTGAGCCCTGAAGGAGTGACAGTCGCATTTGCAAGTGCTTTGAAAAGACACAGCAAGATGACTAGTGTGTTTGAGAGGTCAGAGGATGGAAAGCCAGGGACTTCGGGATCAAAGTGAGGTTTGCTACTGCAGAGTTGAGTGGCCTTGAAACAGCCCCCACAAGTGGGATGTATACTCTCATTTCTGGCAGTCAGGGTGAGCAGGCAGTGGCCTTGGCAGCTCAAACACCTCCGTGCCCTGGCATTAGGAGGAGCAATGGACCATAGCTGTCCTTCCAGCTCTAGGCTGGGCCTCCTCTGTGGCTGCCCCAGTGGGGTGCACCTCCAGGCCTTTCAGGGCCAGAAAGTCCCATCAGGAGAGCTCCATGCTGGGCCCATTTCCCCTTACCAGAGACCCACTGCTGAGCAGGATCATGAAGATGATAAAGCTCTCAAACCAGCTGTGCTCCACGATGCGATAGCAGGCCTTACGCAACTGCCAGCCCATGGCCCATGGAAACTTGGTGGTGTTCACTCTGCAGCAGGGACAGTGGCGAAGGCAGCCTGTGGGGAGAGGTGACCGAGGGAGAGTGATATCCTATTGTCATCATTTCTGCTCCTGCCCTGAGAAACAACTCTTCAAGGAAACCTGCTTGCTACCCTTTGGAAAAGGGTTCTTTTCTGGAAGAGGATAGGAGGGGCCCTTCCAGGGGGCCTTCAGTTCAGCCAGTCAGCTTCCCCCTCCAGCACTCCAACCACTCTCCTCAGAAATGGCACGAGCCGGTCCTGTCCTGATGCTCACTCTTCCCTGGAAGCTGGGCAGGCCCTGAGGCAGGGCTGGTGGTGTCGAGGGGCTATGCCCTGAGCCTCTGTGGAACCGATGGGCACCACATGGCTGGTCCAGCCCAGCACAGCCCAAGGTCTGGTAGAACTAGAAACTCAATGAATCAGTGCCCCCACCCTGCCAACATCCATGATTACCTTCAGAGTATGTGGAGGATTTGTTTATTCATTTATTGTACAAACATCATTGTGGATATAATGTGCCTTGGTATTCTAAATACTGAGGGAAAAGACGAATAAGATATAGATTCCATCTTTAAGAAAAGATCGAGGGAAACAGATATGTTGGGACCTTCCTCTGTGCCCTAAATTATGAGTTCAAGGTGAGCTGGGTGTGGTGGTGCAAACCTGTAATCTCAGCACTCTGGGAGACGGAGGCAGGAGAATTGTTTATTCAAGTGCAGGCTGGGCAACTTAGTGAGACCCTGCCTCAAAATAAAAAAGAGCTCGGATGTGGAGGGGGAGGATAGAGAGAGACAGAGACTGAGAGAGAAAGTTAATGGTGACATGTACGGTAGCTCTTTTTCCCTTTAACCTCAGGAGGGCCAGGTTGTAATTTGGTGAGGTTCCTTGAGGGTGACAAGCAAGGCTCAGCACCTGTCTTTTCTGTCCACCCGACATGGTGTAAGGTGCTATGAGTCGTGCCACTTGTTTCTGAGGCTGCCAGGGTCCCGTTTGTCTGGCTCCTGAGAACCCCAGGCCTAGGGGAGCGACAGGCTGGCTTCTGTCTCTAACTGGCATCAGCCTGAGGAGACCTGCAGCTACCATTTACCTTCTGTAAAGCATTCATCGGGTTCTTCCAGGTCATCTGCCAGCTCCGGGATCTTCCTCAGGATCTCGTCAGGATCCGGGCAGTCCACCGTGCTGCCCTCTGAGGAGCTTGTGTCTTCAACCCTCTGCAGGACAGAAGCCTGGGGTGGTGAACCAGCTCCCCAAGGTACTGGAGACCCAAGCGTGGTCACTGCGGGTCCAGTAGGCTGAGATCCCCAAGGCACAGGATAAGCCCTGAGGGCCCTGGTTCCATGCAGGGGCTGCCCTGGCATCCTCAGAGCTCAGGCCTGGCACTGATGCTCCCCACGGAGCCCCAAGGCCTAACTGAGCCAGGCTGCAGACCTTCAGGCCCTGATGGAGTGCTGGTGATGGCCTGAGATGTCGTAATTACACCCATAAAGACTCTCAGCTTTCACTGGCCTTAAATATTTAATCAGGGAGCAAAGCTGCAGGGGCCCTTGCTGCCCTCCTGGCAGCTGGAGACCTATAATGTCTCCAGATGAATTCAATTAGGAGCTGAAGCTGCTCTTGGGTTAGTAAATTTGATAGCTTAGCTAATGGACCCAAATGGTCGGGTGGGTCCCCATCTGTCGCTGTCAGCCCCTCCTTGCCTGGTCTGGGTCATGCACAAGAAACAAAAACAAAGCCAACACCCAGAAGTTGCAAACTGCAAACATCAGGCTGGGGAAACCAGCCAGGAGAGTCCTTGGAAAGCTCTGCAGGGAACATGTCACCCATGTGCAGAGCGCGACGACCTCCACAGGCTGGGAACCCACGGCTCGTGTTTATCCACAGCCCCACATCCCTTCTCAGTTCCCTCTGCTCTCCGGCCCTCTGTGGTCAGCCTGGCCTGGGCCGTGTGGCCAGTAGCTGGCACTCCCCACACCGAAGGGCCGGTTCACTTTGGGGGTTTGTTTTCCACCTCATCTTTACCTAGCCCTGTGCAGGCCACACAGTGCCTACTTCAGGGCTCAGTGTCGAATAAATTCTTGAATTATTACAGTGTAGTAGAGATGCTGAACATTTACCCTTTGCCTATAGATTGCTTTCTTCCAAGATTTGCAATCGACACCACACGGTTTATTTTTACCTTAGAAGGATGCCCCTCACTCTGAGTCTTCCGCCCACCCCCTCTGTGAAGCTGTCAGCTCCCTTCTCCCCCGAAGACAGCCCCTCTCCAGCCCCTGTCTGCTTTTGGCTAAAGACAGTGATGTGGACAAAAGAAAGTGGAGGTGCGTCATGGGGAGGACTTCCTCATCCCCGAGTGCCTCCAACCTTCATCTGCTGCCTCTGAAAGATATTTGACTTGCTTTGTGCACTGTCTTTTGTTTCCTTTTCTTCTTGGCTGTCACTTCCTGGGCACTTACTCCATTTCAGGCAGGAGCTAAACATCTGACAAGCGGCATCTCATTTAAGCCTCAAAATAATCCTGCCAAGGAGGCATCATTGTGCTGTTTCACAGATGAAGATGTGGAGGCTCAGCGGGGTCGAGGAACTGGCCTTAGTAGAGCTCGCTCTTTCCTCCCATCCCTACACCCAGCCAGTGCCAGAGTGAAAGATGAAATGTACCGATCAGCCAGAGGCTGGAGGGATTGGAGCGTACCTAGGATGAGGAATGAGGCTACTTGGTTAGTGTGGTTGGAACACCCAGCCCTTCGCTACCTTCCAGGGCTCCCAGCCTTGTGGGAGGTGTCTGGCTGGTCGTTGCAGCTCTCCAGGAAGCTCACATACCTACCTCTGCAGGAACTGGGGGAGTCCCCTCGCCTTTCCACTTCTCACCCAGGAATGGAGCCAGGTCCTCAGAGGATGCCCCAGAGCCTGGGCTCCTGGGTGTCGGGTGGTTCTCACACCTCCCAGCTTGCTGCAGCTGCTCCTGCTAATGACAGTGAGTTAGTTATAGCTGTCAGAGCTAGGACTTCAGACATGCAAGGAACACACACTTATGTGAAACAACCACAAAGTCTGTATGCATAGCCATACAAGTATGTATTTAACTTGTGGCCCCATTCCTTGGAAGCTTTGTGACCTTAGGACGAGTCATTTAACCTTTCTGATCTTTTTTCCCCATCTACAAAATTTCAAAGGCAAGATCTACCTCATTATCATTGTTTTGATGACTAAATATGTTAATACTCTGCAGAAAGAGCTCAGCTCAGCAGATGTTAGCCACAATCATTACTTGTCCAGAAATCAGACTGGTACGGAACTTGGCCATCTAGATCTTCTCCAAAGAACCCCAAGGTAATCAAAATGCTTCTGAGAGGCAGACAGCCATTGTAGAGTCATGTCCTTTGCTCTAGGGATGGTGACCCTGTCCTTGGCTGTCACCCAAAGGCATGGAAACAATGGCAGCAGGGTATGGGCTGAGCCCAGCCAGGGGCCATCTATGTGAAACACGTGGTCTGAGCACCTCAGGGTGGCCTGGGACTTACCTGCTGCCCCTGCTCCCTGTTTGCCTGTCTAGGTAGTTGTGATCTTCTTTTTTTCCAGCCCCTGCAGAGGGGCCACCTCCTCTGGAGAACTTGGCATGCTGTGAGCTTCTGTATGGCGAGGTCTCCTATGCCTGGCTTGCTGGTGACTCTTTTAAATCCATGCCAATCCACTGCTGGAAAGCCTCATTCCCGCAGTTTCCCTTCTGCCCTGAGTGGCTCTCACCCTGGGGCCTCCCTACTTCCTGTGGCTGGCCCCTGGGGGAGCACTCTTACCTGTCCTTCTGGAGTCACTTCCTGCCACGAGCTTGGAGCATCCTGCTCTCCATCGTCCTCTGAGTCATCGAGATCAGATTCGCCCTCCGCAATGGGCACAGAGACCCACAAGTTAGGATCAGTGATAAGGTCACTGCGTTCATCCCTGGGGGCCCTGAGAGGCGGCAGTGCTCTGGGGCTCCCTGGGGCTGCCTCAGCAGCAATGTGGTTCTCGGCCTTGGGGCTGGACAGCTGGGGTTTTGCTGGCAGCTGCAGCTCCGCCTTGGGCCTGGGGAGGAGGCAGGGCCTGCAGAAGAAGCTGCGAAGGGCCTGCCTGGATTGGTGGCCATATACCTGGAGGCGGGCCAGGGCCACCTGCAGGTTGTTCACTTCCCCATCATCCTCGGGTGCTGTGAGGTTGTCGGCACTGAAAGAGTTCAGCAGCAGGGCAATGAACAGGTTGAGCACCTGGGGAGAAGGTGTGGAAGGCGAGATAGAACAATCAGCAAGCAGAGCCCCTCCTTTGCCACCTGGTGGGCAGATGGATGGCAGGACAGTCACAGCCTGGGCCTCCTGCACCCATTTGGTACCCTGCCTCTTGGGAGAATGGTCATTTTGAGAGCAGGTGAGGGGACCCTCAGGATGTCCCAGGGTGACTTGCTAAGGGGAACGAGGCTGGGAAGCATATTCTCCAACACAGTGAGGTTCACGAGGTGACAAAGGGACAATGAAGAGGAGCAGGCCACCCTCATTTCCAAAGCCTTCAGTTTTATCCCTCAGTCTGGAATCCTGGGCACACCTCCTTGCTGCTTCTAACTTCACATTCTACCTTTCAGGGTAGGTGTGAAGATAAAATGACAGGAAATAAGAACCAAGATGCGTCACGTAAAGGAGCAAGATCTCAATGATGAATGTAACAGTACTGTTTGCCTAAAATGTACCAATAAACTTAATTGGGGGACATGAAATGACATGGAGGATGTAAAAGTTCTTAGAGAGGCAAACTTCTTGCCTGAGGGCCAGGCCACCTGTGCATCTGCAGGGAAGGAGCTTGGCCTAGGAGGAAGAAGCTGGGCGGGGGCGCTGCAGACAGGGGCATAGCTCTGGGTCAGGACCAGGTGGGAAAGACTCAAAAGGCCTCTGTGTGCTCATACATCACCTTCTCTTAGTTGAGTTTCTCCTGTCTGTAAAACTTATACAAGTCCAAATTCAGCAAGGTGTGAAGGAGGCTGAGGCAGAAAGATTGCAAGTGTAAGCCAAGCGTGGGCAACTTAGTAAGATCCTGTCTACAAATAATATAAGGGCAGAGGTCCTGGGTTCAATTGCCAGTGCTGCCAAGTACTATCCAAATGGGTTGATCTCCCAGGCAATAAGAAAGCGGCTCTTGGACAGACTGCTTGTGTCCCAGAGCCATAGCGCTGGATGTCCATACCCAGACAAGCTGGAGGAGAGGAGAGTTAGGTCCAGGAAGGTCTCCAGGGGGTTCCCCAAACCTGGAGTAAGCTTGGAAGGTACAACCAGCTGGACCTTGTCCAGCTTCTCTTTTTTACCTTGTCTTTCTGCTCCTAGCTGGAACCAAGAAATCAGTCAGTTCTTACTATCTTAAGAAAATATGTTCTGAGAAACCCACGCAGGGGAAAAGATTTTCCTTCTACAGGGGACAAGCTACCCTTTACTGGGTTCTCAGATGTGGTACTAGGCGATCTGAGTACCTAATCTTCTGAAGGTAATTCTGCCAGTTTATGCATCTTTGAGTTGAAGGAAATCGGTGCTTGGGGAGATTCAGTCTCTTGCCCTGGGTCACCCAGTTAGTAAGTAATGCAAAGGGATTGTTCCTGTGTGTCACGTGTGCCCATTTTTGCAAGTTGGGCTGCTTCCCATGCATGTCTCTTATCATGTGCCCCACGAGACTCTGAAAGGTTTGAAGACTTTCTGTCCAGCGGGCGGTGTGGCCCAAGTGCACAAGGTCGAGGCTTTTTAGGATGACCCAGGAGCCTCCCCGATGCCCACAAGACAGGGCCCCAGTGTACTTACCACCAGGTTCCCCAGCACCATCACGGTCAAGAAAAGGATGAGGCAGATGGGTTTCTCGCTAACCTCCATGCAGGCCCACATGTTCTCGATCCACTCCCCACAGAGGATCCGGAAGACGATGAGGAAGGAGTGGAAGAAGTCCATCATGTGCCAGCGGGGCTCCTTGTCCCCCGGCAACGTCAGCTTTGCCTGATGGTTGCAGTAGGCCTCCCCGAGGAGCTGCTTGCCAACCAAAGCGAAGATGAAGACGATGATGGCCAGGATGATGGTCAGGTTCCCCAGTGCCCCCACCGAGTTGCCGATGATCTTGATGAGCGTGTTCAGGGTGGGCCAGGACTTGGCCAGCTTGAAGACCCTCGATGATCTTGATGAGCGTGTTCAGGGTGGGCCAGGACTTGGCCAGCTTGAAGACCCGCAGCTGTGGGGAAGCAGAGACCTCATCAGACCCCGGCAGCTTGTCTCACCTCTCACCTAGAGCCTTGGTGCAAAGCAAAGCTCTAAGGAAGTCACAGGCAGCTTCTCCAGCTCAGACGGGTGCTCCCTGGAGCTGTGGTTAGAGCTTTCTTTCTTCCTTAGACTGCATATGCATTGTCTATTAGCATATGTTTGCATTACATAAATACATTTGTGTGGGGATTTGCTATACATGTGTCTCGCAACTTGAGCCCTTTTACTTTCTCTTCCCCTTCCATCTCTCCCGTTTCTCCCCATCCCTAGATCCCCTTCCATCTCCACAAAACCTACCTCCCTGTTTCCTATCATCTATCTTTTATTTTGCTCTGTATGTTATTTATACTTTGGGTTTCTCAAAAACACGCTCAGTCTTCTGTGGTCCCTGAGTGTCAACACTCTGTACTGATTGTGGCAGAGGAGATCACTTTGCTCCATTCTGTAGCCTGCTCCCTCCTAGGTGTGGACCTGAGCTAGGGTTGTGCCCTGGGGTAAGGTGAGGGTCATGAATATGTGAGAGTGGATTGTTTGTGACCTGAAGACAGGCTAGCCTCTTTCAGCAGGACATGGCCCACTGCATCGGGCGCTAGGATGCAGTGCTGAACAGAACAGAGCTATAACAATTTTGTCCCCCCACCCCCACCCCCGACCAGCAGAGCGAATCTTTAAGGAGCAGATTGAAGGCCCTCACACAGTAAGTACTATGTTCACTTCTCCATGTGATGGGGATAGACCTACTCTCCCCTCAGACTGGAGGCAGAATTTAAAGCGCCAACTCTGGGGGGGACTGGTCAGAGGCAGCTGATAAGCAAATGAAAATTGAGTGCTGGGCACCAGACAGAGCCCTTTCTTGGAGGGTGTTGGGGGAAATTTCCTAAATTACACAGTTGATCAAAGTCTCCATTCTCAGTAACTTCTGGGCAAGTACAAATGCAGAGGCTGGATGAGGGCCTCATGCTGGATAACAGCCAAGCCACAAAGCCTTGGGCCACATGCCCAGGACACTGAGGGATGCCAGGACATGCTAACCAGCCCTGAGCAAAAGCATCAGACATCAGTGCTTGTCTCAACTGCGCCTGGCTGTGTGATTCCACAGGTTCCTTAGTTGAAGTGAGTGGGCTAGAAATTACTATGAGAATCTCCTTAGAGAGCAGCCCCTGAAAAGCTCTTGCTAAACTATAAGAAAAACGTTATGTATTCTTCACCATAGGGCATGAATCAAGTCACCTTCCATTATTTTGGGTGGTCTTTATAAAGGACAATAAAACAGGATCTGTCTGCCCACTTTCTGTTCTTCAGACACCAGTTTGAGGTCCCTTCTGTCAGCCAGTCAGTCAACATCCATCTGTGTGCCTGCTGCTGGGGCTATGGAGACATACTACATGGCTGGCTCTCGCTGATGCTGTAACCACTACAGGAGAGCAGTTCACCTGCGTCCATAGCCCTTACTTTCACCTCTGCCCATCTAATTATTCACCTTAGTCTTTACCCTACCCAGAATTATGTCAGAGGGATTGCTTCCTATTATCACACTATAGCTTGTAATCAGGCAGGGGCTGTAGCTCAGCTGTGGATCACTTGGTCTAGCAGGTACAAGGCACTGGGTTCAATCCCCAACACTGAAAAACAGAAAGTTTTTCAGTGGATCTATTGGGATAGAAATTACTTGAAGCCAATTCCTTATCTGAAACTTGTCTACATTTTTCAGCTTTCTTTTGTGAGGTTGCTTTATTTCTAGAACGGAATGAAAAGTCACCCTAACACCTGTCTTCTCCTGGGGACATCGCCCCTGGGCAATGAAATTCAGCTTGCACTTCTGAAAATTTCAGGGTATAGGGTAATATAGGACAGAGTATAATATCAGGTCTCACTTGGGTCTCTCTTTTTATCAATATCACAGAAAATGCTGGGCAATAAAAACATTTTTTTTTTGGTACTGGGGGTCGAACTCAGGACCTTGCACTTGAGAGGCAGGTGGCGTGGGCAATAAAATCTTAAGTGTGTTAAGGACCTGTTAACAAAATGAACAGTTTGTGGCTGAAAATTAAATCAATATGAGAAATTCAGTTTTCCTCCACCCAGTTCCAAAGGAAGACTTGTTTTTCAGACTCACATGCACATAACTGGAGTCATGTTATTGGGTTCTGACTTAGGAGACCAAGAAGAAGGAAAAAGTAGCACACATGACTTGCCTTGCACTTTCTTTTCCTCTTCTATGGTCACCACAGAAGTCACCAAGGAAGGTGGTAATGTCACAAGTTAGGATAATCCAGAACCCCTAGTCACTAGCTGGCCTAAATACACCCAGGAGAGCTTCACTACTAGCTCGGGAAGTGCTGTGGGATAGAAACCTCTCTTATTTAACTCACAGCCTGGGGAGGTGTCACTGTAGCTGTATACATTTTGAGTAATGTCAAAATTGGTACATTAAAAAGTATTGCCATCTCAAAAACATCCATTGTTTGGCACTGGCTTAGTGCAATCATTGGTTGGGCAGCAAGGAAACTGGTATAAGAAACTTGGAAAATATTGATCTGTCAGTCAGTGGCAAACACTACTTGCAATAATTCTGGGGTTGGCCCCAAGGCTCATAAGCCAGCAGGCCCAGGAGAAGGGTTTGTAAAACCTTACTGTTGTGTGCCCATTGTAATTGACTATGTTTCACAAGATCCAGTAAGAAAGAGATGAGCCCAGGAAATATTAGACTGATTTATAAGAAATGAAAGGAAATAGATTCCAGAAGTTTAGATCCTTGCAGATTTGGAAAAGCACATTGCGTTTAAATTCCACACAGTGAACAATGGGATCAGGTCTTTAGGTGCTGAAGTCAAGTTTGATTTTGCAATAGATTTTGCAATTCTTAGCAAAGATTACATGATTGGTGTAGCCACTGTTTCTCTTGAGAGAAAGGTGTAGGAGCAGAAAAACACAGGAAGAAGGTGGCACTGAGGACTTTGTCAAGGAATGTGTGGTGTGTAGCATACTAGAGATCTGAAGCCATCGAAGTTTTGGAAGGGACTTAATTGAAGGACAAACCACGAGCCCTCCCTGAAAACACCCCTTGACTGTTTAAAACTCAGATCTTGGCCTAACATTTTTCCACAATAAGCAGCAAATTTTGAAGGTCCTGCTCTTTCAGATGTGGCAGTCATTTATTGAAAGACTCTCGAGTAACTGGGGCCTGACTTGCTATAGACTTAGCTAAGAGTGTGAAATAAACCTTTATTGTGTTCATCTGTTGAGTTTTTGAATCATCTGTACAACAGCTACCATATCTTAATGTTGATTAGTTTGTTATTGTTATTATTATTATTTGTAGTACTAGAGACTGAACCCAGGACCCTAGGCAAACATTCTACAACTGGGCTATACGCTCAGCCCCATAAATTATTTTTTAAAAGAAGATAAATATATTTAGTATGAATATAACTTGGTTAGTGATAGTTGGAGTGAAAAATTGTCTTGGAGAAAAAGATTTCAGCTAACTTTTACTTTGACTAAGTTAACTGTTCATACTGTAATTCCTTATTTCTTATTTCTTTTTTTTTTTTTCCATGCATGCTACTAGGGATTGAACCCAGAGAGCACTAAGCTACATTCCTAGCCCATTAAAAAAAATTTTTTTTGACACCAGGTCTGACTAAGTTGCCCAGACTGACTTCGAACTCATGATCTTCCTGCCTCAGCCTCGAGAGTAACTGAGATTACACAAGTGCCATCATGCCTGGCTATTATGCTGTAATTCCTAAGAGAAGTGCTCAAAGAATAAAAAAGGGGAATTTAGTTTCCAAATAAATATACAGTACCACCCAAAATAAACTAAGGAATGGTGGGGGAAGAGAGTGATCAATCTAAAGATAAGCACACAGCCAAATACAGCATCTCAGTATTTACTAGAAAATAGATGGCCTAAATACTTTGGCTAAAAGACAAAGATTGAATTGTAAGAACTGAGTAAGAATCCCAAGTCTGATTGTATGCTATTTGCAAGAAACATGAGAAACCCCCAAGGATACACAAAGGTCACACATTAGAGGATGGATAAAAAGCCATCCTTTGGTTTAGACAAATTTTAAACCAAAAGTGAGCAGTGTTTTTTTAATTAATATTAGCTAAAGATATCTTTAAAGGCAAAAGTATTTCTAGAAATAAAGAAGGTCAATCTTCATAACAAAAGTTTCACTTTAGGGCCAGGGATTTAGCTCAGCGCCCCCCGTTGCAAGCACAAGGACCCGAGTTCAATTCCCGGTACCCCCCAAAGTTTCACTTTACTGAGAAGATATAACAACTTAAAATATGTATGCTCTTTATAATAACAGAGTCCTGATAGAGCCACATGAGAAACAGATGTGTAATAATCATGGTGGGAGATATTTCTGGATACCACCTTCTTGGTAATTGCTAGAACAAGCAGTAGACAATAAGCAGGGATATAGAATGTACCACACAATGAAATTTCTCTACCCAATGGGTATATGTGGAGTATTGCACCCAACAACTGCAGAAGACATATTTTTAAAAGTACCTTAAGAACATTTTTAATACACTGAGCCAAAGAGAAATTACCAGTAAATTTCAGAGCATTAAAATCATACAGCATATGTTCTCTGACTATAACACAATTACGCTAGGACTCAGTGGCATAAAGATAACTAGAAATACCACATATGTTTTGAAATTAAGAATCATGCTTCTAATTAACCTTTGAGTGAAAGAATAAATCAAAGTTGAAATTAAGAAATATTTGGAACCGAACAACAAGGAACATCCTATATATTAAAGCAGTTCTTAGAAGAAAATTGAAGTCTTAAATGAATATGCTAAAAAATAAAATGGACCTCATTGCATCTTAAGAAGTTGGAAAAGAAAAAAAATATATGTTGAGTAGAGAATATAATTAAGATCAGGTTCAGAATTTACTGAAATAGGAAATCAGTGATAAAGAAGGGGTTAACAAGCTAGAAGCTA